AGAGAGAGGCAAATTGTAACTAAAAGAATTCTTGTGACTCTTCAGAATGTCATATAATGGTCTATTTGAGGCATGCTGCTCAAATCTTATTACTGTGTATGAGTGTGTCTGTGTGCGTGTCTCTGTGTGTGTGTATACATATATGTGTGCAAATGTGCTCATGTAGATGAAAAGTGTGTTCTGTATTTATGAGTTGGAGGAAATTAAAAAATCAATGGAAGTATAATGTGACCTGTTCTTTTACTAATTGAGTAATTTAACTAAGTGTATGCTCTGATAAAGATAATTGGTTGTACAATACTACAAAACATAAGCATTAAATGTCCATTTCATTTGTCAGGTGTCTAATATCACAGAGTTTTTCACCTGGTTTTCATCAGTCAAATATGTCCATGTTTTCTCTGACATTGTCCGTGACTTAAAAAAAAATTGGATTAAAATGATAGCCTGGAGATTACTGGAATGGATCAGTCTGTTGCAGCCACTTGTTTCGAGGTTGTTGTTGATACAATAACTACACTGTAAATCTGATTTATAGTACACACATTCACCCTTTATTAGCTCATTTCCCTAAAGAACTTTATCGCAAAAGCAAAATATTATCCCAAATTTTAAGAAAAGTAGTTTTATGCAGATCACACCCATCTCTCTGGGTTTTGTCTGAAAAAAAAAAAAGAAAAATGTGGAAAATCGCCAGTCTAAAATGAGCACGTGGCTGGCTGAGGGAAAGAATTACAAATGAAAAAACAAATGACAACTCCTGGAATGTGCAGCATAGTACAGTGTGTGAGCGAGGTCTGTGTGTGTGTGTGTGTGCGTACATATGGGTGACAGACAGCCACTGTTCAGCTGTGAAAAAGGTGCTGCTTATCAGCACACTGAAATAAAAACAATGTGTCCTTTATTACACACTGTGTGTGTGTGTGCTGATCTTTTTCCATTTTCATTATTTTTCACTTGACTTTTTTTCTCTTTGACCAGTCAGTTTTATAGTTCATGTACTGTACATTTGACAGAGGTGATGTTTAAAATTAGTTTTACCAGGAGGAAAGTGAAACAATGTATGCTTGTTATGCTTTCGAGTGTGTGCGTGTGTGAGCTTTTTCATTTGTGTTGGTCCCTCATCAGGCCCTTATTAACTACACAAGTGACCTTTGAGGAGGTGCTGATGGGTGTCTTTGGGGTCGAGCCAAGTTTCTCCCCAATCTGCCTTTTCACCATCCATCTATTTTGGGTTTCTCTCCTTTGACTTCTCACAACTTTTACAATAAAAGCTGCCCATCATTTTCCATTAGGAATTTTACATGATTAGTTTATACATGTGGGATCACAAATTGGTGAAAAAACATCACATAGGGGGATTTTTTCTCACAAAGTTTCCAATTAAGATTTAGTGTCCAACACATCTAAAGCCTTTAGGCCCGTCCCCCTGCTGTTTCTGTCGTTCCACAGTCTGCAGACTCTGTACAACTTATCTCAGCACTTTCTTGGAAGCAGATCACATCTCTACTGGCGTTCGCATTTCAAATGGCCTCCAAAATGTGTCTTTTTCCAGGAAATATGAGTGGAAGACATTGTCCAGCGTCACAACTGATCTATGTTGGAGAACACAGATGCCAAATCGTTTTTTATATTGTGTGTGGCTCCGGAGTGATTAAACTGCCAGCATTTCTTCATCAACTTAGTCACATGTATTGTAGCCTGCTGTCAATCTGTATCACTCTTTATTGTTTTCAAGGGACATGCCGTGAATTTTCTTTATTTAATATCTTTACCTTAGTAATACAATAGGGTAAGCTCATTTTCGAGGTGAACAAGGTGTCAGATAATGTGATAGACTTAAACTTTAAGCAGATCAGAAAGCCTGTTTCCAACTGTTTTTTTTACTTGTGTTGAGTGAACATCAGCTCATCATGGACTGCTTTAAGCTTTAAACTATTCTGTGGCATGCTTAGAATAATGTTTATGAATGCCTAGGATTTGGTGTATTTATCAGGTCAAATGAGCATAATATTTATTAAACTTAGATGTCCTGATGTAATCTGGAGCCACTGATGTTTTTGTTTTCAGCTCACATATTTTAAATAATTCTTGGGCTTCAACATGTATGGATGTGTAGTGCATGCATAGTGTTTGAGAAGCAGCTACTTTAAAAAGTGAAAATAAATAGTATCAGTCAGTCAAATCAGGTTTGGAGTTTTCTTTCAGAACTTTTTCTCCTGCAAGAGCGAACTGGAACGTGTTAATGGCCAGTGGAAGACAAATAAACGTTGTTTTAAACTTTGTGGAACTCAGCTAGTAGAGTCAAGGAATGGAATTACAGCTGGAAAATGAGCAAAGCAGTTCCCTTTGATATTAAATACTGGTAGTTTTCAGCCATGTATTGATCAAGAACATTTTGACATAGTGAGAATGACTCTTTTTTTAGTTTCTCCTCAACGTCTTTTACATGACTGCAGCTTTTATCCGTAATATTGTGCTTTTCATTTTACCTCTTATCGTTCTTCATAGTCACCTGCTTGAACTGTTGGTTTGATTAATAAAACATGCATAAACAGCAATAAACAAGGATGGTAGATAATATGTTCATTTATCTTCAAAAGTACCATCTCTATCAATTCTTAACTTTTACATCTAAGGACAGAGACCACAATATCATCTGGCCATTTATTAGATGAGGTAAATACCATTTTGGATAAACGATTCAAATGGCATTAAATAATTAAATTAATGTACAGAATATGTTAAAATGCATTTGAAAGAAACCTTGGCTGGACTTTTTTATCTTGATTTCCTTTTCAGATCTGAGAATTGCAGTGGGATCATGTTTTTGCTGCAACCTGTCCAGGGTTTACCCTACCTCTCGACCAATTCCAGGTCTGCTCCACCCCCCTACAAAACCTTTTCGGCAGGAATAGAAAATGCATGAATAATGATCTAGCTGCATGACCAAACTCTCCGACTGACATTATCTTTTTTTTTTTTTACAGTTAAATCCTTTAACAAAGAGGTGTTTGAAGTCAGCTGCAGTCATCCCACACCATGTGACTGAAAAACACGCCATACTTCATAAGCTCCATGGGATGTTTGTGCTGATATGACGTATCTGGTTTCCTCCAAATGTGCTGCTGTGCTTGATGACCATATACCCCCACTCCTGAGGAGCCTGGTAGATATCTTAAAAGTTTTCCACTTGTAAATATTTTTTCTCATTGGTGAGTGATGGACTCCATGTTGCGTTTTGTAACTCTTCATTGATTAATAGGGAAGCAACATTCACTAGATATAAATGAGATGATTGCTAACATCTCTCATTCTTGGCATTGTGTTAACACATACCTGAATGCACCCAGAATATACAGAATAGTAGTTGATCAGAGTACAGAAAGACTGATAATCACACCCTGCTTCTGCATTTTTCTAATATTTTCTCAAGAAAAATACATGATACACTGAAATGCACCTCGTGCCGTTACTTATCTAAGAACATTTTGTTTTGATTTCCTCTCCGATAGTTTTTCCACACACTGATTCTGTGTTGTGGGTTTTCATTAATTTTACACTCCCTGCTTTAGCCAGTTCGAGGCCTGTCGTGCTCTTCAGAACTTTGAACTTTTAGATGGAATATGAAAGTATCAGACAGACACATCAGGGTCAACTTATAAGGTATCCATTGTTTGTTTACCCTTTTCGTTCTTTTAATCAGACAGGAATTTGTATCCATGCATTAATGTGGTTGATTTGACCTCAATAATAAAGAAACAGACATTTCACAAACATTTTCTTTATAAAAATTTCAAATATAGTTTATTCATTCACTTTTTTGAAAAACTATTTCAGTAACAGAACTACTTACAGTTGAATAGGTTAGACATTATCGTCAAAGTTAAATTTTCATCTTTCATTGCTACAGCAACAGTGTATTCAGGTGTTATGTCTGTATGTATGATTTCTGCTTTCATACCATAAGAGTTTAACTGAGGCAAATTTAAAGATTGAAGTATAAAAAAGAAACATTTGAAGACTGATAGTGAAAAGTAGCAGGTAGAGACTTATCAATCCAACAATGTTGGTTCTGTCCATAGTCTCTTTCTCTCTCATTCTTTCTCTTTTACTCCACTTGTTTTCAGGAAAATGTGTTCTCTACCTTAGTATCTTTCTCCCTCCAATTCAAAGGCAAAACAAATTCAAGTCTCCCTCTTTCAGGCCACAAACAAATGGCGCCGCACAGAGTCAGTGGGATCATCATCCAGCTGTGAGTCTCATTCCGACGCTCTTCTCTCACAGAACAAATAAAAAAAATTAGAAAAAACACAGTATCCTAACCATCTAGTATTCATCTGAATTACCTGCATTTTACAGTATTAAAACATACAGTTAGGTGGATCATCAACATTTCTCTGCTTGATGTTTTTCCTGAGAACTCAGTTCTAGTGTGTGCACCGGCTCTCATTGTACCAGATATTTATCATTTAACCGCTGTTTTAATTCCCAAACAAACCATGCCCCCATATCCATTTTTCATTCTTTCCGTCTACAATCATTTTACTATGAAACATTCCACCACATCTTTCCTTTGCTAATGCTACTGTCTGATTGATAAGGCTGCGTTTATATGATCCACGTAATTCATTCAAATAAATCAGAGAAAAGAGAAAATGCAGAATTGTTCAAGAAGATTGCATTAAATTTCAAAGGGTGGATCGACATGTGGGTTTTTGTTTTAGAAATAAAACAACTTCATCTGGATTATAAACTATGTAAAGCAGCTTAGCCCATCACAAAAATACTCTTAACTACCTGATTCTTGTTTTAGCTGAGAATATAAAAGCTTGAGCACCATGCAAAGCCCTGCTGGACAATAGATTACAAAAGACTGATAACAGATTTGTTGGGGATGTTGGTGTCAGGGATGAGTTAATGAAGCAGAGTTAGATTTGTGTGGAATAGGGTGCAATGTGAAAACTATCAGGGGTTCTGCTACATTGCAGCTAGCCACGTCACTGGAAGACAGTGTGGTAGGTGGGACACTGGTGGGATTTCATGTACTTGATGGCAAACTTGAGCTCCTTGCTCTTCTTGTCCCACTTGTGGATGGACATGAGCAGCAGCTGCTGGTCCACTTTGCGGCCCATGATGAGGAAGTTGGAGCCCAGGTTATCCAGTTGGGAACAGGGACAGTTGGCACCGTTCTTAATGTACAGGGTCAGTTTCTTTAAGTCCTTCTTTCTGAGCACGCCCTGCTTCAAAACCTTCTTCTTCTTTTGTGCTGCAATCAGCTTCCGGTCACCCTTCTCCTTTTTCACCTCCTTGATTTTCATCTTGAGGGCTAAATGAGAAGAAAGAGTGATATTAGACTCACACTGACTTTTATAGTATGGAACCCAAATATTCAGACCAAATGTAATTGATGTGTAAATGATTCATTTGTTTCCTGTTACTTTGACAAATATAGCATTTCTGTCTGTTGCTCTGTGCTGAACCAATGACACAAACATTTGAAACTTTCACCCACAGTGTACAAACTTCATCCTGTGTGTTTGCGAATGAGTCTTGGACTTAAAAAAAACCATAACCCATTTGGTGGATTTATTTTTCCTATAGTTTTGGCATGCTTATTCAGATATAACATATTTTCAGTAACATTGGAACAAAGTGTGTCCTTATTTATATGTGCTGGTAATGAGAGGTCTGTTTTTTTCTAAAATTAATCCTTATTGAATAACATTAATGTTTAACTGAATTATAGACAGTTTAATTTGTTAATAATCCCAGATATATATTTTGAATAAAAGACATGGAATCAAAAGGTTGTTTTTTATACGTTGCTGATTGTTGCCAAATTATCCATGACATCTTTATGCATTTTTATTGCCTTTGATCACAAAATCCAAAATATTGCTCTGCAAGAGGTGAGCCAAGACACAAGTAATCATCTTATAAAATGCTGTCTGTCGAACGTTACTGCAGACGAAACAGCTGAGGTTTTATCTGTTCCGGCTAAAATTAAAGCTCAATTTAAATGCTTTTGCTTTCTCGCCAGGTTTGTTTGAATTTAAGATAATTGTTGCCGTGAGTGTACCAGTAAAATTCAGGTCACGTTCTTGGGTCTAATTTCTTAAACTGAACATCAAAACATGCGTCCAAAACACTGATTATAACATGAGTAATGTTACTGCATAGAATCACTATCATCTGTCACGTTGTTTACATCATTTTCAGAAATCATTTTCTCTAATTGGGACTGTCGTCTCATGTAAGCTGTCTCTCCCTTGGGCAGGAGTTGTGTATTTTCAGGCAGATTTGCAGAACAGAGAAACCTTTGAATCCAGTGTTCATTATACAGTGTGTGGGGTTTGGTAATAGAATTCAAGAATTTCAATCCAAAGATGCTCTGACATATATCTGCTTGAGCTTGTGTTTAAATGTTCATTTTCACAATCGCTAAAGATTCCAGTTGAACTGGTGGGCCTTGGCACGGGGAATTCTCTGGGTGACCATTTTGACAGGTAAGATTAATCATGGGTGTGGGTGAAGGCACAGGGCTGGTATGAGGCACTGCTATGTATCCAAAACTGTTGGAAGACTGCCATTTCACTTCTCGCTTGGTTGTCTATGATTGCATAAACACACCTCTGTGTGCTCTGATGGGTACACTGTACATGTGAAGTGATAACAACTGCTCAAGAAGGAATGTATGGGTCGAGTTGCTCCTCGATCACATCCTAATTCACATCCAGACCATACACTGACAGAATGAGATTATGTGCTGTGTTTGCATGTCTCAATGCCAGAAATGCCTGTATATTTGTGAATGACTACGTGCACATGTGTTTCGGATGACAATATCGCCACCTTATCCCCGTGATTTTACTCTAACCCTCAATCCGCATTCAGGCTCGTCTAGTCACAAGTAACACGGGGGGCCTCTCTGTGCAGCCTGGCCAATATCTTTGTGACAAGCTGTGCCCTCGTCTTTATACAAACTCACTCTCCTTAATGTGAGCAGAGTGCAGTGTGCTGTAATGTGAGGAGAAACAGGCTTTCTTCAGGCTAAAGAAAGCAACCTCCACAAAACAGCCAGGTGTGCATGTGCTGCCAGACTCACATCCCGCCTCTCAGTTTGAGCCATGTGTACCATTCAGCCGGATGGTACTGCAGGGACTGTTAAGAGATTGGTCGTCAAATGTAGACTACAACAAAACCGAGAAATGTCTTGAGGGAGCAAAGGGAGAACTGTAGATGAATGGGTGGCAGCATTCATTACATGTGAGATCAAGCTAAAATCAGCTATGGCTCAATGGAACAACATGAAAGAGATATTCTTGCCTTGATCTTTAAGCCCATATGTCAGACTTATCTTACCTTTTCATCTTCTCCTCATGTCGGTCGCAAACATACTTTGCCAGTAAACTATGTCTATATGGCTGGTTAAACATAATCATATTTCATTTTCAATGTTCCAGAGGAATGTGCATTTAGCTCTGTGTTCCCTAAAACACCCTTTCGTTAAAAGATTCCAATGTGTAATCCTTTAATTAACCATAAAAATAAATATCTGTGATATGATAATGCTATGATCAATTGTGGAGGATGAGCCTGTAATTTGGCTGCCTCTGAGGGTGTGAGGAACGTGCACATAGATGTATTTTATTTTTAGCAGATGTGATATTAATATTATCTTCATTGAATCTAGCACATTCATTTCACTTTCTTGGTGTGGCTAATTGTGTCCTACCAGAAATGATCTCCTCTAAAACCAAGTCTCATGGAGTTTTTTTTTCATTTTTTTTTTTTACATTTGTTATTCCGTGGCCAAAAAAGTATGATCAGAAAATATAGAGAGCCATACATCTACATTTGAACACAAGGGAATCATCCATGAAAACAGAAATGAATCTGCCGTGGAGTATGATGTGCCAAAAGCCCAGATGAGCAGAAATAATGGAATAATTATGTTCTGGCCGCATGTGCAGGTCATTGCTGTGGTGAAATAGGAATGTTGCGGGGTAGATGGTTTAAAAATGTGGTGTTGAAAGAATATCAGGGATAAGAGGCCCTTAAATTAACAAATCAGTTCTTCAGGAAAAAAGGCTAATGGTACAAGCAGGTGTGTACAAAGTGTGTGCTAGCTGTTGATCAGCCAATAGTGTCTGGGTATCTGGAGAGAGGGAAGATCAACCATGCAACAAGAAATGTGTTGGTAAAAAGTCTTAAGATGTGAATTTGTACCAAACAGTATAATCAGATTTTCACTTTTAAGCCTCCTAACATTTTTCGAAATATTCTCAATGACACGTGATTCTGTTCAGTTCTGTCCTTTAGTTATTTATCATCAGGCGATGCAGATTAATGAACCCAAATTCACACGGCGGGGTAGTTTTGGTATGTGATGACACACTAAAACAAAAACGAACATACATTAGAACATGACATGGGATGCTTAAATGTTCTTTCATGGGACTCCTCTGATATGTGCATGCATTTTTCTTTTTTTCTGTTTTCGGCTACTCACCAAAGTCACTGGCACAGTAATGCTCCATGATGTTGTCTGCTTTCAGCTCGTTGTCACATGGCGGGCACACCTTGGACACTGAAAGGACAGGAGAGTCATTTGGGCTGATTCACGTTGTATCTTACAGCTTAGCTGAGATCATCGTTAATCAGGTGCAGTTAGCAAAGCCAGAGCTGTGTTGGTATGAAAATATTAAACCTCCAGCACTTTTCGGGTCACAAATTTACATCCCCCACCAGCTGCCCTTGTCAGACGCTATTTGCTGTGGAGCAGATATTCAGTCCAGCAGACTGACTGATGTTTGCCCTGCAATTACACTGGAGAAATGTTTTTACTTTGCTCCTTGTATATTTTGGTGGCGCAGGCGTGGTCCTGGCTGCTCAGAAAGGTAAACTCTTGGGCAGGAGCTGCTGAACATGGCAAAAAGTGATTCTGTACACAGACAAGGCCAGTGCTTAGGCCACACAGTAACCACACATTGTGAAACAGCAAAGGAAAACCCAAAGCAACAAGTTTTGTTTATGTGTAACTCCAAATGTATGGTCACGCATGCTTAGCTGAAGAGCACGTTTAGCCCCACTGACTTTGATACAGAGCTTAGGGATTGTTATTGTGTACTCACACGGTTGAGATGCATTGTGATGAGGAATGAGTTTTATGTTTTATTTATGTGTTGCAAGCAACTTATTTGTTTGTACACTTTTAAATTTACAGCTGCCAGCAAAATAATTTAGAACACATCTGGTTTTAAGTAATCCTCTAATTCAGAAAGAGTTTAGTTACAGCTCCACACATCTGATATCGGCCGTCTTCTTCCAAAAGCAAAGCTTCGAGCTAGATACACGAAGAAAGTGGAGTATTAGAAAGGTATTAGCAAGGGAGGGCTGGAGGATGTGTTCCAAACATCTTCCCCTCAGCGCTTTCACAGTGTGCACATACAAAGCAGACAAGACTGAATTGAGACAACTTGTCTGCAGGGAAATAGTGCTGACCTTTTGCTGAGTTAGCGGGCCTTTTTTTGGGATGACTCTTTATGTGAGTGCTACATTTTTTTGTCATTCACTCACCACAAAAACGAAGCAAAAAAAATGTTCTCATTCAAGAGCGCCCTGTTCTCTCTCCTTTCCTCCAATTACATATGCACATGGAACAGTCGTGGAACAGTTCAGCCCCTGGGTTAAAAGTCAGGGTTCAGAGGTTATCACCCCAGTCCAGACCTCAGTGTCTGGACAGATAATGAGAGGGGTCAAAGTTTAGCATGCCTCGCTGCTTGGGTCATGGAGAGGTGAAGCCCTTCACCACCTCTGAGCGTATGTATGAATGTGTTTGTGCATGTGTGCATGTCGGAGGTAGCTGAACCATGTTCTTGTGGAGTAACTGCCAGTTCTTCTCCTCCGAGGGTTCCCATGCTTTCACAGGCAGGAGGCCTGAGAGGCCTGCAGGGTCAGGCTTCTAATTGTCTGGTGCTGACATGCAGACTGGGACAGGAGCATGGAAACACACATTCAACACACCGATCAAGAGACAACTAAACTTTTCTGTATTTGTCTGTTTTGAGTGATTCCCTTGAAGCTGTCACATCTTATTGAGTCTCCAAAGTAATTCATTCTAGTTTCACAGGGGTGGTATGTTGGCAGGAGGCCCAGCTGTGTGGATGCCAGAGCATGGGCTTGGAGAGAGCACTGCCTCCATCAAACTTAGTTGAGCTTGGACTGAAAACCACCATTTGGACACCACTGAGAAATCACTTAGGCAGCAACTGCCCTCATCACTAGACTCTGTTGGTGGAGTCACTGCCGCGTTCTGATGTCAGTCAGTGCTACGTGGCTCAGATGTTTATTTTTCCCCGGACTTTTTACCACACGGCAAATATTTTGAGATTAAGTCACTAATGTATGTCTTAACACCATCTCAAATCCGTTAGAATTCTTTACATTCCGTGTGATTAAATTGGGAAAATTTAGTTCCTGCCATGGTTGACTTTGTTCATAACAAGTCCATGTGTGGCGGTTTTACAATTTCTTTTATGCTCGTCTTTAAATTTAATTATGCAAAGTTTTCCCATTGATTCTGACAAATATTGTTATTCATGTGGTGCATAAGGAGTTTGGGAGTGGATGATTAAGGATAAGAGGAAAAGGATGATGGGAGTAGTATGAGTCAGGCGGTGGTCTGTTGGAAAGCCCTGTTGTTAATCTTCAAACAGCAAGCCAGAGTGGAAATGGTGAACGGCAACAGTCCAAGAATTCTACTGCACAACTTCACTTAGTCATAGATCTGAGGTTAATATCACTTTCCCCATTTCAGTCTCTGATTCCTGCTGTGCTTTTTGTCTGTCATATCTCCAAAGAAACGTCCAAGTAAAACATATTGAACTTGTTTGGGAACACTTTTGATGTTAGGACAAAAATGACAAAAAGGTCAGTTGTAAACTAATTTTGGACTAAAATGCTACAGTAAAATGTTCCATTTTATCTTATCTGACCGCGGAACACACGGATGCTATTATCGTTGTCATTTTGATGGCAAAAACCGGTGCTCTAGGAAATTACTTTCCTGCAGGAACCTGAGTTCCTATAAACAACAACATAAATTATGGATATCACAAAGTAACTTAATTACTTTAAAGAGTAGTTGAAAATGCAAATATTGTAAATTGTATTTTTGAGTGCGCCATTTTTCATATTTAGTTAATTGAAAAATGTAGTTACGCTGAGTAGCTAGCTTTTATTTATGTCTGTCACACACACAGCCACACACAAAGGGCAGCCCGACTTAACATTATGGTCATGTGCCTCATCTCTTGCAGCCTGAGCATTACAGTGACTTTTATAGGAAGAATCCTCCATTCAAAGTATGCCCGGGTCACTATCCCATGCCTCATTTGGACCCTTTAAGTTATGAGCACCAACACTTATGACATAAAACGGTACTGTTGCGGAGATGAAATGCAGCGTGTGATTTACGTCCAAGGGCCTCACATCTGTTTAAATGTGGCATGCAGACAGACAGAGGAGGCCTTAAACATGGCCCAAAAGCAGTCCCCCCGAGTCCCCTAAAACAAAGCACGCTCCTTGCATCTGTAGGAATCCTATACAGAAGAGAAAATACCTTCTTAAAAGGCCTCGGCAGTCTTCCATGCACAGACCATTGGATCACATTTTCCTTTTCATACATTAACCCGTGCCATGAGTAGTGCCTATTGTGCTGATAGAGACCTAACTGTGTTGCCTGTCACCTTTAGCATACTTGTCAATTAAACTACCACATCAGAGAGAAAGCAGCGAGGACAGGCATACTAGGAAATCTGATTTATTTGAAAAAACTAGCATTTTATCTTACAGAATGTCCTCCAAGCCAACATGCAATTTTGGATTTAACCCTGTGCACAGCCTAGAGTTTTTGTCATGGCAACTGATTGATAGGAGAATAACAGAAACTAGCATTATTGGGGTATTGATTGTACAACATTAGGTGATCTTTGTCAGACAGACTGAACTCAGCTGACATTTTCTGTTTCAAGGAAGCTTTGGTGCTCTTTTGTATGCAGTCTACTTGCCTTCCCTTTTAATAATATAGAAAATTGTGTTTCACACTCTTTTGGCTCCGACACACACACACACACACACACACACACACCCAATGGCTATCAGTTGAGTGGCATATATACTCACACATGCCAAAAACATCTACACACAACCTGAGCTCAGGTGGTCAAGTTCCTCTCACTTTAGGCTGTGGCAGAGAGGTGGAAAGTGAATCTGACTCTGTACTGTTAGTTTCCACAGGAGCCCTCGAACCGTGCTATATCATGTAATTGCAGAATAGCTCAGATAACATCTGGGCCTCCCGGACGGGCAGAGCAACAGGTAGCACAGCACTTAATTTCTGTGATTGACTCAACTCCCCGAAGATTCAGTTGGATTAAACGAAAATTCCGTTTATGATCCTGCATAAAGAGAGTCGTCAGTGTCCTCCATTGACACTGAGAGTTCCCAGGAAACTTGCTTCTAAGGGTTCTTAAGACGAATTCCTTTCTTGTTATTGCTGGCCATCTCTTGTGTGTGTGTGTGTGTGTGTGTGTGTGTGTGTGTGTGTGGCTGTCGAAGAGCCAAAAACTTGTCCTCGGGATGGCCTCAACGGCACATCTGAGAATCTCTGCTTTTTAACAAAATCTAAGCCTCAAACACTGTCACTCAATCGTGCTCACATTCAAAAACCCACACTCAAATACTGCTCCGATCGACCGTCATCTTTCCATTTCTACTCCAACAGGAATTTAATTATATGATTATTCAGAAACTGAATTATCCCAATTATGCGTTTTGTTAGTGTGCCTACATACAATTTTTAGAATTTAGTTTTTGTTTCTGAAAGAAATCTGACCTTTATTTGATTGACTACTATATCAACAAACAGTTGCTTGGTAAAAGAGATGACGGATGAAAATGAAGCAGCCTCCTTCACAGAAAGGATGGAAGAGAAAGAAATATGAATCCACAAAGCCAAAATCTCACATAGTTGATACTGGTCCTACAAAAACAGAACCGCCATTTTCCTAAATGGAAAGAGTCAGTTGTACATTGATTCAGTTGGGAATCCTCCAATAATTTTTTCATGCTTAAAAGGTTCAGAGGAAGATATTTGAATGTTCGTGTTGTAAATACTAACAAAAGGTTAGATGTGTCACACAACAGCTTTCTCTTTAATTCTGCAGGTAATACTTCTAAAAAATGGCTCATATAAAACTAAGAGCATTTTCCTCAACAGAATTTCAATGTGTTGAACAGGAAAAAGTAAAGCCGGTGACAAATGACCATAAACAGTTAATGGCGCATAATGGAGTGATGTGAAGAATGAATAGTTTTCTTCATACCCTTTAAGAAAGCAGAGAGGCGGACACTTCTTTTGCTGCTGGAAGCAGCTTTTCTTCACTTTCATGCACTGTCTGCTTCTCTTCACTCTCCCCCTTCCCCTGTCCTTTCACTCCTGCCCATTCGGATCTCTTAGGAACAATCAGACTTTTGCTGTTTCCATTCTCTGTCTGCCTCTCTTGTTCTGTCATGTCTCCTAATTATCAGAGCTTAGTAATTGGCCTTCTTGTTAATTGGCTTGCCGGCTCCCAGACTCAACAAAAGCTGAGTGGACTAGGACACAGTGGGACCGTCCCTCAGCTCTGTCTAAAGGCTCTCATCGATTCCGTCTCAGGGCTGATTACTTTTGTAAAGAGGCTTAAGTAGCTGCGGTACACACACACACACACATGCCGTTTTAATGTCTCATGAGTTCCCACTCACTTTCTCCGAGTGCACTATTGGCCAGTCTGTATGTCCCCCCCTCTCATTCTCTTTATAATGTTCTGCAACAGACCAGCTTCCGAACAGGCCCACTGACATAAAGCATACCTGTCTGACTCACATAAAGACTGATTGATTGGCTGTAGATAGACGTATGATAAAGGTGATAAAAAAGGTTGTGCATGCAAGTGTGTGTTACCCTTTTTTTTTCAGTTTGGGTGCATGTATCTTCACAGCCCATTTATCTTAACTCAGTGAGCAATCTGGCCACTGGAGTCTCTCAGTCTCCTGTCTCTGTCCCTGCCCGAGGCAAATGAGCTTTTCCTGAACTGTTACTCAGGAACTTTCCCCTTTAGCCTCTTCCTGCTTCCATCTCTTTCCACGTCTCTGTCACTTACGCCATCACTGCATTGCAGGGTAACAATATAACTCTCATATCCTCATAGTTGAGAGGCCCTTGTCGTATCTGATTCTGAAGCCCTGAACTTTCATCTGTGTTCTTTAAGATTGTTGAGGTCAATCATATTCCTGCAGTGCAGATGGATTTTATATTGACCAATTCTTTTTACATTGGAGTTATACCTCAGTATTTGCGTATGGCAACAGTAATTCTCAAATTCTCATTTGATTTAACATTTCCTTATTTCAAAAGTTTAGCAAATTTGCCTTGCTCTTTTGCTCTTTTGCTTTGCTAGTTTAAAAGTAGCTTTTGTTTTAAAAATTGACACGGAGTGAAACATGGCTGTTGAGCTTGTCATTTTTGTGCAAAATATATATATACAATAAACAATAACAATAAATAAACAATAAACTTGCAGCTTCTGCGTACATATAGCCTGCTGTTAAATCGATCATTTGGCTGGTGCGTTATTCAGAAGTGATACAGATGAAAGGCTTTCTGGATATTTAACTCATTTAGATGCGTCTTGGTGTTATTGCTGTCCTACCTGGTGGCTGCGTCTCGTGGTCCTCGGTGAACTGCATGGGGATGCAGAGGTCGTTATCAATCGGGAACTTGTCGCAGGTCAGCATCTCTGGCCAAGGGAAGCCGTAGGTCTCCATGACCGGTGCGCAGCTGTCCCTGACAGCCTCACACAGTGAACGGCAGGGATATATGGGTCTGTCCAGACACACGGGAGCAAACAGTGAGCACAGGAAGACCTGTGTGTCAGCGTGGCACCTTTTGGCCAGGAGGGGCACCCAGCTTCCCGCCTGCTGCTTGACTTCTGGCATGGTCTCATGGTCCAGGAGGTTGGGCAGCCGCATCTTCTTGTAACCCACATTGTGGCATAGGCGCAGGTCAGCTGGTATGTCCACACACTGGGGTTGCTTGGTGTAGAAGCGGCCATTGTGGAAGTTGTCTGACTGCCAACTGTAGTAGTCGTACTCATCTGCATCCACGGTGGTAAGGAGGAGGAGAGAGAAAAGCGACAGGCCCAATGCCAAGCTGAAGGAGCCCTGGGTTAATGCCCACCTGGGGCTCTTTTGTCCATGCGCCATGCCTTTTCTGAGTTCAAACCAACAATTCAAGAGGGGCTCTTTCCAAAGTCTCCAAAGTAACTCAGTGAAGACAAAGTGCAACAAGAAGAGACGAACAAGTGGGGAAGGCACACAAGCTGTAATCCCTTTTTTTTCTCCTGAGTATGGACGCAGCGAATTGAAAACAAAAGTGTTTAATTCCCTTCTTCCTTGGAGAGTCAGCCCACTAAAGCCTCACTGAAACACTTCCCTATGTGTGTATTTGTGTGCCTCAGGTGTGGAGTGGGGAGGCAGCAATCAGGGACTGGTGAACACACAAGGAGGACCTCTTATTTATCTAACTTGCCCTTTCACTGCTTTTACCCTGCTGGTCTCACCCTCTCTTAGAACTGTTTCCAAACTTCCCCTGCTCTCTATCAGTCTGTAGCTGTAAAGGCAAATACCTAGGTTTTTAAGAGGCAGTGGTAGCTGCTTTGCTCAGCTGCCTGCCCCCCTGACAGGCTCCCAGACCATTCATCTTCTTACTGGCCTCCCCTGGACTCACTCATAACAGTGTCAGCCAATCACAACCATGGAGGGAGGTTCCCTCTGGCCTTTAGGACACTCCCTTAGCCCGTTATTCCCAACAAAACCCCTCCTCTAGAATAACTTCACAGGAGAGAGTCTGAGAGAAACATTTGGCACAATTCTTTAGCTGTAGTTTTCTGCTCATTGATCACAAATTCTTTGGTTAGAATCCACACTGGCTGTGCTGTGATTGATGTGCCCAGGTTCCATTCCAACAGGCTCACTCTACACATAACAAAGGCTTTCTGCTTGGCATTTAAGCCTGCTCGCTTCATTAGCCTGAAATAGTCTCGCATCGGCCCTCTGAAGGCTCAAACACATGCTCATTCACAACTGTAAATCCAAAACATTCATTGAAACAGATGATTGAGGGGGGTACAGTGTGGGAGAGGTGAGATTATAGAGGGCCTGTTGTGCAGCTACAGGTGGCTAGGTGGTGTGCTGGCACGATGGGAGATATGTTAATGTGTGTGTTGGCTGTGAATAGAGGCATGCTGCCCCTCTGTCTCTTTCTATCAGTGCCACTGACACAGTGAAGGCCTTCATCTCTGGAGCAAATTCACTGGAGGGGTCACATTCATATTCAAAAGGGTGAAGCATTGTGAACAGGATGTGGGGTTGGTGGCTCATTTGCAATGTGTTCTTGCATCTTGCATTTGATCTGCACTACACATTACTGCTCTTCCTCGTGTGAATGGAGTTTTTCAATGCGTGGTCGTAGAAATAATCATAAAGTGGCTTTTTTGTGCAATCTGACATTTTATCTGGATACACCAGACAAAACACAGGATGTCTGTCCTGACAGCCACGGCTGCTGATACTTAGATGAAGTAAACAGACTTGTAACTTTGGATTAATGTTATTGTCTGTTTGTAGAGAAGAAAGGAGGAGAGTAAAGGAGCGGACGCATGTGTCTTTTACAGCTGATACTTGGATGAGAGGCAGGAACTGCATTGTTCTTTGCCTGTAGCGTGAAAGATAAAGTTTCAGGAATAGCAAACGGCCCATGAAAAATCAAAAGTTGAAAACCTGACCTAATATGGGAAAACTAACCGCATCATTAAAAGTCAACAATATCTAAGCCTCTATAGTTTTATAGTGTCTTGACCACACTCTTACTTACATCCAGATCCAAGGGTTTCTGCATAAGATTATGGCACTATTCAGTGATAAAACTATGGAACCAAGAGCCTTTCAGCCTTATGTTATGGAGGTACAATTTATATCCTCATTGAACTTTTAGTTTGTGACACTGCAGATGGATTATTTTCTGGGAATAAAAAGATTGCCAGAAGGTTAAACAGTCATAACAGAGTCCCCACTCAGAGTAGTTTCATAACCTGCAACAGGAAAACATGAGATTGCTTCCCACTTAAGTCACCCCAGAAATGCTGACATAACAGCTAGGCAGCACATTGAGGGAATATAAAAGCACTGTTTTGGTTTTGAAAAGTTTATAGTCAAAGTTTATTGACCATATATTCTCACATTTTTGCTGCCATCACTTTACTGCCCTCATTCTACAAAAAGCTTTGTTGTTCACACACACACACCGAAACTGCTCTGCTAACCCTTGCACTTTTGACAATCAATGTTACTCACAGCTAATAATCTGTGGACTTTGCACCTTCATAACGGTGGGCTTTATCAGTGCTAATAACTATCTTGAGGTATTTTGTACGTTAGTGCACTAGTGACCTATTTTAAGACTGCCAGTGTTTCCTCTCGGTACAAGCACAGTGTCCTGCCTTCAAGTCAGTAACAAAAGTGTCTTTCATGGTAATCAATCAACAATGGTTGTCTCCTCTTGTTCTCCTTCCCCTAACTGGCCCCTGTGGCCACCGGCCAATCAATTCCACTCTTAAGTTTCAAGCCCTCTGATTGGATGGAGGTTATAAGATTAGGTCCAGGCTGTATTGTTGTGCCTAAAGGTTTAGCATGGTTTGAAAAGAGTGTCTCAGCAATTGTATGAGTGAGTGCATGTGCTTATGGAGATAGTGGCTGTGTGTGTGTGTGTCAGGGTGATTGTAAAGAGGAAAGACTGGAGAGTGGGTGAGGTGGCCAGCTGCCCAGATATACCCTTCAAGCAGTTTGAATTCCACACCACACAAGAAGTTGGAGGGGATGATCTGAAAGACGACAGGAACACTGTTACACGCTGTATAAACTTTTTAAACTTTGACAATAAAATCATAGAGAAAAATTATTTTAAGGTCCAAAATACAGGGTCAGTAATCTTTCTTTCATTTTTCTTGCGGGTTGAGTCACTAAATGTGAACTGAATTAATGAATTGAACAATTATCTTAACAGATCTGAAATCAAAATTTGCCGTTCATATTTTCATGAAAAAGAGGAGGTCGTAAGTAGCTCTTCCTCTTGCGTTAGGGTTTGCGCGACCCGTGTTTTAGGTGTAATAGTAGAAGAACACTAGGAGTTCACACAAGAGAAAGGTTTAGTGACTAAAAATATTACATTTTCCCATAAAAATGTTTTTTTAAAAAGATTGATTCTTTTAAGAGGACTCGATACACCGAAATTATCAGGAAATCCATGAACAATTGATCAGTTTTATCTATCCAACATCCTGAAGAACTATTCAAATCAGCTCTGATAAAGTTTGAACTCCTGAACTAACTAAGCCAGGAAATGGGATGGTTTTGTCTTCTTGTCATATGTGTATGTCGCCAAACTTCTCTTATTGTATATCCTTTCACTTTCCTAAAAAGTATACAGGAGCCCATTTTTTCATGACTCATTTCAGCTTGTTTGCTCACCCTAAGGTCAGACACAACTTTGTCAGGAGGAACTGGTGAAATTATGTTAGAAGATTTTAGCACCACTCAGCCACATAGCGCTAAACCTGTGGATGCCAGTCACACTGGGCAGCGGTTAGGAGATATGCTGCTGTGTTTGCTGTCTCCTGTCTTTGACCCTCATATGGTATGCTGTAGGGTACTTTTCGTCTCCATCTTACGTCTGTTTTGCCGCTTACAGTGTCAGCACTGACAGCAGAGTCAGGAAGAACACAATCAAAGAGACAATCAAGCAGTTTCCCCTCTTTTCGCCTGCCAACCGAACACATAAAAAAGATACACTCACACCTCCCTCGACTGTCAGCTTTAACCCCTAAGAGCAGGCTTCAGCTTCCCCGTGTTGGACTCTTTGTTAAAGAGCTTTGACCGTCTCACCGTCATGGCACCCAATGTAAAGAGACAGGAAGAAAGAAAGGGTTTTCCAAACTGAGGGTTGAGGGTTTTTAGTCTGGGTGTCAGCTTCCAATAAAAACCTTCGGATAACGGGAGACTTCCTCTGAATGTTGAGTCGACGCACATTTCCATGAACATATGAACACAAGCAGCAGGATACTCACAACAGGCTGGTATTGTGTCAGATAGTCAAAGAAGATGACTGTCGTCAGCATTTTGTGTAAAACTTGCTACCACTGTGCTAGAATTCACACAATTGTTACATGTGTGTAAGCATGAGCAAAGCTGAAATTTTGCTTGGAGGGGAAGGGGGGGGGGGATTTTTGCAATGGCGGAATGCAAAAGTCAGCTCAGTTTCAGCAGCGTATGTTTCATTCTAACATCTTGATTTTGTTCACGTGCACCATTCAACAGTGCTGTCAGCTATAAATAACAAGGGATGAAATAGGAGTGGAGAGGAGACGAGAGGGTTGGAAGGTAAAAAGAACAATGTCCTCAAGAGTGCATCCCTTCGAGAATGTCTTTTAATTTTTTTTTTTATAGAACTCTGGACATCGCACGTGGATAGCAATTTTGGTTGACTATATCAAGAGAAAGAAGCAATTTCTTCTCTTCATTGAGTTAAGTTACTTTATTAAGAGCTGTACCATGTTACTACTTTCTATATATTTTTATATAATCAGACCGGTTCAAAGTATGGGTTTGATTAGTTTTGAAGATTCAACAGAAACTCAGCAAGTTCCAGGCATCGTAACTTGACTCTTCTGTAATGGAGTCTCTTTCAGGGGAAGTTAACGTTCTTAAAGAAACCACAGGGTCAAACTGTAGCAAGTCCAGCCACATTCCTATAATTGGTTGGGTAAAATAAATAAATGTGGGGCTTTTAAAATAGCTTATTTATTTAAAGAAAGGATGTTGAATGTTTTGAAGCTGACCAGGTTCCTCTTTAGCTCCCACCATTATATACTCACGGCCTGTATGTGAGCTACTGTACAGTTAAGGAGTTTAACACAGCTCTTACTGTCTGTTTTCATTTGGATGTTGCTGTTCATAATGTGAACCTAAGTTTGAGGTATATGTTTAGGAAATTACTGCAACATCTGCTGTGATTTATGAGCTGTTGGCTTCATTGTCAGACACTTTCCTGTCACTCGGTCTGTTTGCTGTTGTTGGTAAGTGTGTGTTCAGCAATCCATCTACTTGTCTCTCAGCACGCTATCACAAGTATGTCAGCAAGGAAAGTCAAG